TTTTCTGGCATCGATATAATCTACATGGTTTTTCCTAAATATTATTTTTCTCGTTAGCGCCTTTTTTTCAACCGATGAGAAAAATAAAATTTAGGCAAAAGCCACGTAGATTATATCGATGCCAGAAAAGAAGTCAAAATAGAATCAAAAGAAACCCGCTTCACCGATTCACCGAAAACTTATGAATCTAGCGCCCAATTTTTATGTAATTTGATGCAGCGCGGCAAAAGTACCTAATTTTCTAATGTATGCCTGTCGATAGCATATATCGAGATAGTCAAAAGACTAAAAGGATTTTTGCGCATGGCTCTTCCTTCAAAAATTAAGAGCAGGTTTTCTGTTTTTCCCAGCGGAAATCGAGCAAAATAGAAAAATTCATAACTCCGTCAAACTAACTCGTATCCACGTGAACTTTTTAACCAGGTAGGGCTGTGGAAGCATTGATTACTCCGAAAGCTTTAGCTCTCTAGCACGTTACAAATAGAGAGAGTAGGTGTGACTCTAAGTGTAAGAGAATATAGTAAACACAACAAAAGAACACAGCGAAGAAAACGCCTTAGATTTTCTCTACTATAATAGAAAACCCTTATAACTCGGGAACGTTGAAAGTTAAAGCTTTCAGAGTAATCAATGCTTACACAGCCCTACCTGGTGTAAAAAGTTCACGTGGATACGAGTTAGTTTGACGGAGTTATGAATTTTTCTATTTTGCTCGATTTCCGCTGGGAAAAACAGAAAACCTGCTCTTAATTTTTGAAGGAAGAGCCATGCGCAAAAACCCTTTTAGTCTTTTTACTATTTCGATATATGCTATCGATTGGCATATATTCGAAGAAAAACTGAAGGGGACACTGCTATAGGTTCTCTCGTGAGTAATACTGCTCAAACTTTNATGAGATTATTTCTTCTCTGATGTTCTGGTTTAGCTCTATTTTGAAAATTTAGCCTAAAAACATTTACATACAGATTTGAAAGAATAAAATCGGTATGGAAGCAGTATAATTTTTTTATCAATACCACAATTGTGTTTTGTTTCTTATCGGTATCAGTATTGTTATTTACGCTATTTCGCATGTGTAGGAAGGCGTTTGAATTTTGATGACGTGTCGCGATATGCTTAAAAGTCGGACGATTAGTTGGAATCAAAATGAACTAACCGTCAACTTTTTCCGAGAAATGGTGAAAGGGACGAATTACAGAGAGTTCGATGAATTTAATCGTTGTTTTTCGAACTTCTGTTCTGAAACGGCACAGCGCTAGGGTTTAAAAATATTTTTTAAAACTGTTCTTTGAGTGTTGTTCTTTTTGTGTTGTTTCTAATGCATTATAGCAGAAGGAAAGAATAACACTAATATACACCAACTGCTCCTTTCTGAGAATAGATTTTAAAATTAAAACCTCATTTAAAAACCTCATAAAAGGAGAAAATCCTACACTTATAACTCTAACAATAAAATAATGAAATGAAATAAGAACTAACACGAACACACTTTATAACAAAAACTCTTCTTGATTCTGAAATAGACAATAAACCAGAACATCAGAGAAGAAATAATCTCATGATGAAATATTTAAATAGCTACGCTTTATTCCAATCTCTAGACCCAATATTGTAACAAAATAAATTAGAATTATATGAGCCAATGAAGAATAAGTGACTATAATTTTCATATCTCTAACAACCAAAACAACTAACATGCTTAACAAAACCCCAGTTACTAACAAGCCCATACATAAAACAAAGTGCACATACTTGATTATAAAAAACGTGCTAATCCTCTCTATCTTTAATAAAACCCTGGCTAAATTAATAGAATCCCATAATAGAAGCTTAAACATGTGTGGCGTGCATCCAGACAAGCACATGGAAAGATAGCTTGGAGAGTCTACTTTCAGAATCTGTATCGCTGTCGGGCCCAGAAGTGGTTCTTTGTGATTTTCGAGCAAGTTTTTTAGAAGAGTTGAAAACCAGGGCCTTCAAATAATCATTTTTTCTGAACACTTAAGCAATTAAATTTTTTCTGAACACGTAAAGTTGTAGGACAGACTTCTCTGATCAAAAAAAGACGTTGCACAACACTGTGTGATCTTGCGTTCAAAAAATTATTATCATTTTCCTACATGTCCTAAAAAAGACCTACGAATGTAAATACACCATTTTCTCTTAAAACACGTTTTTTGTTCGAACATGCCCAGTGCGGGGCACTTATTTGAAATATACATCAAGCTAGAGCCCTCGGATGGGTTTTATTCTAAACCAGACACTTAACTGCGTGGGCTGATGGAAGCCGATTTTTGAATTAGGCCATAGTTTTCTAGAAAATTAAGGACCTTCAGAGCACTCAAAAGGATTTTTTGGGTTTGTGAGGATGTTGGTTCTTTAAAGAGGCTTCACCAGCCCATCAAGCACCTTCTCAAAGGGTCACAACAAGTTGAAATTTTTTAAATATAATTCAAGCTAGAGATTCGGATTGGTTTTATTCTAAACTAGACATTTAACTGCATATGCTGATGACACGAGATTTTTGATTTAGGTCTATTCTCGGTTTCTAAAGAGATAGTCCATTTGGTCATCGAGAACGAGCACAAGTCAGCAAAAACATAAAATGACAAAAGTTTACTAATAAATAACCAAAAAAAGTAAGCCCCACTTATAATTTTACCTAACATATCGTAAGGTTACTCAACTATACAACTACGGGACTAAATCAATATTAAAAAACTACTAAAAATATCACGCAAACAAACAAACTAAAGTTACTATTAAATTTAAACTGCTTAGTTTTACTGAAAGGAATTATTATAAGAATAACAATACTTATAGCTAATCCAATCACAGCATCTGATTTAGTAGGGCCTCGTCGCAAAATACAATGTAAGGAAATAAAAAATACTACGCAGGCTTAATATGCTCCGAAGATTTTAAAGAATCAACAAACGAAAAATTATCCCAATCTATAAAACTATAAGGCAACGACAGAAACATTAACAAAAACCGTAAACCATCACAATTATAGAAATGCTACCCTCTAAGGAATAAAATCAGTGAAGTTCAATCTTATCTAGGTAAAGCAAATAATTTATTCACCATTTACTTTACAAAGTAAAGATAAAGTGACATCCCTAGTCAGAGAATCTGTTATCTTGAAATAATTGTTGATGGAATATCTCTTCTTATCGTGCTACTCGTTAAACCAGCGCTTTGTCACACAACTGTAATTTGACGATCTTACGGCTCCCTCCTCATTTTCGGCTTACCGCAGAAATGCTGTGAAATAAAACTAAAGCTCACTAAGACTTCATATTTTCCGAACTGATTGGAAACTCAATGAAGCACTTTTTCGTTTTTGTTTCAAGTTTTACACTATTGTCGTTCACCAGTTTTCAGTATATAGATGATTACATATAAGAAATGTCTTCTTTTGCGAGCTTTTACTCTCTCCGAGAGCATCAGCAGGCAATTTTTTATTTAAATTTCGTTATTATTTACACCAACTATAAGGCGTTATTCACAAATTATGAATGAACCTTACATTCTACTGCCTCTTTTTTAACCAATACAATATTGTTTCATCACTATCATCATATTACTGTTTTCAACGAGATCTCATTGAAAGCTCAATGTTGAAATTTCTTCGTTAGTAATGTCTCTTTTATTTTACATTATTTTCCATTCATTTCAAATGATAATATTGATGGTTCATTAAAATTCAATAAATGATTTAGCGTTCTCATATGCTCTATCGCCTTGAACTGACATCAATTTTTTCCAATTCTTCTTATGTTGTTCTATTCTAATATCTACATTCTTTTCTGTTTGTCCAATGTATAGTTTATGACAATCATTACATTCAATACAGTATACCACACCACCTTTCTGTTTTTAATTCCTTTCAGTTGTTTTGTAAAATAATGTCCAATTGTTTGATTTTTTTGAAAAATAATCCGACATTAAATTTTGATATTTTTCATTAATTTCTTTAATTTTTTTTCAAATGAATATAATTCCTTCTCTAGATAACTGAGAACAATGTTAACTGGCATTTCTTTACCATTTGTGTCATTATTCCATTGTTGATTTTTATTCATATTACTTTGTTGATCGGTTTGGTTTTCTTTATGTATCGTATGTTTGATTGTTCGTTCAATTAATTTTACTGAATACCCATTAGCATTTAATACATCTCTTAAGAATTTTAATTCATCATCTAATAAAACATTATTTGAACAAATACATAATGCTCTTACCACTAACGAATTTATTAATCCTATTTTTTGATGCCGTGGTAAACATGCATCCCATTTTAAGTAATTTGTGTTTCTGTACTTTCTAAATATTATTGTATCATATTTTTTGTCATTTTTTCTTATTAACACGTCAAGAAATGATAATGTTTTCATAGATTCTAATTCAACCGTAAATTTTATGTATTTTATTTATTACATGTAATATTTCTAAAGCGTCTTTTTTATTTCCTTTCGTTATTACAAACACATTATCTACATATCCAACCCATGTTATAATTTTTGAAGATGTCAGTGGTTCTATATGTTATTTTTCTAAATTATTTTGCCAGAATGGGAGGAGCAAGAGGGGCAATGAGATCTCATTGACGGAGCAATATTGTATTGGTTAAAAAAGAAGTAGTAGAATGGAAGGTTGACTCAAAATTTATGAATGAGGCCTTATAGTTGATGTAAATAATAACGAAATTTTAAATAAAAAATTGCCTGCTGATGCTCTCGGAGAGGGCAAAAGCTCGCAAAAGGAAAAATTGCTACTATGTAATCATCTATATACTGAAGTTTATAAAAAAACACTGTATTATTAAAAACTGATATATTTCATCAGTTCTCCACAAAACTCGGTTTTTCATTGAACCACATTACTACCCCTCTTAAATTTCATCCGATCCAGTTAAAACTTTACCAGAGGTACTCAAGGTCATATCGCAGAGGTATATTTTTGGAAATTGTTTTAAGATCTTTCCTGTTCGAGTTATAGGAAAAATACTGAAAAACGTCGCAAAAACCAAGTTTTTCAATTTTAGAGAGCCTATAACTCGGTAAAGAAAGATTTAAAATAAAATTTCAAAAATCCACCTCTGCAATAGTGTCTGGAGTACCTTTTGGAGTAAAATTTTTAACTCGATCGGATGAAATTTGAGGGGGTCGTAATGTGGTCCAATGAAGCCTGATAGTAAAAGCCTAGTTTTCGAGAAAAAGCGCAGTTTTTTACGTAGGCCACTATTTTCAGGCCATTTGACACGATGCTTATATCTCCACGAAAACTCTGCAAAAAATTCGGTAAAACGTCCAATTGTGAAGAAAATACTTTTTCTATCAGACTATGTGTAAGAAAAACTTTGAATGTACAGAAAAGGAGAAAAACGTCTATGAAACTAAAGAGTTGAGTTAGAACTTAGGCTTCGAAGGAAAAACTTCAATGATTTATAACTTTTTGCAGAAAGGTCGTGGACTTCTGAGAACGGTCTCATTTTGTAGCCCACACTTTCCTCTACGTCTCAGTTCTCAGTCCTTGAGACGTTCAAGGAGTTCCAGCAGGATTACTGTGGAAAAATAAAAACTTAGGAGCTAGAAACAAAAAGACTTTTATTATTATTGTCGCATTTGTTCAACTTTAACCAACATATAATGAGTCAGCTTGGTTTGTTGGAAAATAAAAAAGGGTAGATTAAAAGACTTTTACGTTTTATAAGAATGAATTAGTCATAAGTTGTTTTACTACGTAATTAATTATTATCTGCATTTGACAAACGAAAAAAGAATTTTCGATCATGTAACTGCGCACGAGATAAGAACAAGTTGTTATCGAGGCACTTGGTATGCTATTGAAATGCTTTTTATATATGTAACACATGAGCTTTGGAAGAATGGTCACTTTTCTACTATTAGTGCGCGCTGACACGCTAGGGTTTATAGTGGGATACATTGCATTATTGAAGTATAAAATCCAAACCCAACACAAGACTGTGATATCAAAAAATGTAATTTATGTTACGGAGCTAGAAAGGGAGTTTCTCGTACTTCCCCTTTCGAAATGCTATATATTTTGAAAAGCAAAAGAATTGGATAAAATATAATGTTTTTCAGATCTTTGAAAAGGCGCTTGTTTACTTGAATATTTTTAACAGTTGTTTTGCAAAGATTTATATACGAATTCAGAGATGTATAGATTATGTTTAGTAATCTTTTGCAAACATTATTAACAAAAGTGAAGGAAGAAAGTAGATTTTTTCAAAATATTCATTATTTACTAGTTTGTCTTCATAATAATTTCAGTATGATACGAGCATACCTTTTGTTTTACTATAGCTTTGCTTTAACTTATCTCTGACGCAGAGAACAGGACAGTATTAATCAATGTTATTATATTTTGCACAAACTTCATTAAAAGAAACTACAATATCAAGAACAAAATCGAGACTCAGTCTAATTACAATGTTCACATTACGTAAAATGCATGATCATAGATTTTCAAATTAATACCAGGTACAAAAAAATAACTAATAATAAAAAAGTATGACAATATATTAGTCTTAAAACTTAAGGAAAAACCAACAAGAACACTAACGAAAATGAATCAATTTCCTAACAAACATGAGCAGACCAGCACGAGACGAGGAAATACAAAAATAAAAAGAGCTTTCACGCACGAGCTTTGCTATTGCATTTGTTTCGCTTTGTCCAAATTGCATTCTTTCAGTTGTATTTCAATATAATTTCTTGTGCAGCTAACGTTGAAAACTTCAAAAACACACAACGGATGAATTAATACTTCTTGTTCATCTTGAAATTCAGATATGGTTTCAATGTCGATAGCTGATCGATAGGTATCTAAACAAATTTCATAGACACAAATTGCAGTCAGCCTTCCATCAATGCTACCGCATGAGTCCGCGAACGCTTCGGCTACTCTTCGATCTTTAGACGTAGAAAGAAACGCTTTGTTCATGAGACACGTACCAACCGCATATTGTTCCAAATCGGTTTCCGTCACTCTCATTCCTCGGTAGGTTACACCGATAAAAGAAAATTGTTGAAGAGAAGAATGGAAACGCATTAGACTGAGGATACTTTGTCGGTTGATATTGTCATTATTCCATCCATTTGTATGCTCAATAGCCAAATATTCGTTTAATTTTCGATAGTAGCTTGTCTCTCTCGTATAGATCTTTATTAGCTGAATCGGATCCTCCTCCTCCGAGGCTTTGTTAAAAAACCAACGGATCAATTCTGTATCACGGATATTACTGATATGATGATTGTCTAAATACCATGCTTTTATTATTGAAACATAAACACTCATGGGCTCAGTAGTCCTCCGAGCATTCTTCGAATATATCAACCAAGCTGCTTTTTGTTCGATATAGCAATCATTTCTCATCCATTCAATCCGAAATCCATCAAGAGAAATGAATCTTTCTGCAGCGTTCTGTCGCCGAAACAGTTGGCGAAACTGGTTGTTTTTAGTTTTATTGTAGGCCGTTAAATCACGTTTATTTTTTAACGAACGAACTACAACTCCATCTTTTGATTGAAGTTCAACAAGTTCTTCATGTCCGCGTGAGGAAGAAGCACAAAGTCCAGTTGAATCATTTGACTCTAGACAATTTATTCCCTCGACAGACATGTTTTTAAGCAGTCGACGTACCTTTTCTTTATCGCCATATTGACAAACAAGGTAAAACTTCGAGAAGATCATAGTCGAGTGCAAAATAAAATGACACATAAAGTATTTCTTTTTCTTCAAACTGTTATTGCATGTCTTTTTTCATTCTTTAAAGATAAAGACACTCTTTATTGAAATAATAGGAACAGAAACAGTTTGGTTGTAACGATTAATATTTCTCATTTAATTCGATATTTCAATAATAAAAGCATGGTATTTAGACAATCATCATATCAGTAATATCCGTGATACAGAATTGATCCGTTGGTTTTTTAACAAAGCCTCGGAGGAGGAGGATCCGATTCAGCTAATAAAGATCTATACGAGAGAGACAAGCTACTATCGAAAATTAAACGAATATTTGGCTATTGAGCATACAAATGGATGGAATAATGACAATATCAACCGACAAAGTATCCTCAGTCTAATGCGTTTCCATTCTTCTCTTCAACAATTTTCTTTTATCGGTGTAACCTACCGAGGAATGAGAGTGACGGAAACCGATTTGGAACAATATGCGGTTGGTACGTGTCTCATGAACAAAGCGTTTCTTTCTACGTCTAAAGATCGAAGAGTACGCGGACTCATCCTGATTCCGAATATGATATTTTTATTGCATAAAAGTTGAGTTCTGATGAAGAAAGTTGAGAAATACGAGCAAAATTCTGACTATGCAGAAACATTTCTATTGTCAAGGTACCCTAGGACACTTTTTGAGAAACTCCCTCCAAGACTTCGAAGAAGACGGAGCTTCTGTTATGTGCTCAAAAATCGGTGTTATCATGGGTTTTTGGAATCTACTTAAAATCTGATATCACTTTCGGTCATAACCTCTTAAACTGGCGGTCACAACCATTGTTATTTCTTTTTCGAATAGTTGCTGCTTTTGCTCAAATGAGAACTTTTTTCTGATTTTAACGACATTTTTGTTCTTATTCTTTATGTCTGATTGCCTTATTTAAGACAATAGACTGCAAAATGGTAGGACAATATTTTGTGCTAACTATGTTCGTTTCTGTTATTCTCTCTCTTCCTGCTTCCTTTACTTCCTTTTGCTTTTTCTCTATACTTCGACACAAACTTCGTCTAACTAACCCCAAAAATGTCGTCAACGAATAAGCAGAAAATCGAAAGGAAAAAAATTATAGGTTAGGATTAGGTTATCGAATCCATAGGTTAGGTTAGGTAATAAACCATAGATCTCATTCTTGCGTCATTAAAAACTGCATAAATCAAGCTTCATTTCAACTCTAAATAGGTCATAACTATTATCCATTTATAACTTTTGTAACTCTATCTAATGACTAAAATTAGACGTTCTTCAAAACCATTATCTCAAAGAGGAACCACCGAGTATTAGCGGGGTCTTTGGAGAAGTAGACCACCACCAAACCCGCGAGGAAACAAATATGGCTTTATATACAAGTCGACACAGGCTACAAACTGAATATAGTGGCATTTTACCGGCGAACAGATATATCTGTCTGCTGATCATAGTTTCGTCATTTACCAAACTAGTTGAAGTCTTAGATCATGCCTGCTCATTCATGCGTTCTTGGATAAGATTGCACGAATAAGCTCGCGAAGCCGATAGAAGACAGAATGTCTTATAATACTGCTTTTTTCTAAACAATAGCCTCGCATACACGTCAGCTCGATGTGCTCTTTGCAGTAGGTTGAATACACAACTTCTACGTTTCCATCAAAAATGCTAGTTGCCAGGAGCGCTGTTTCGATTTCTACAACCGAAAAATCTGCCTAAGCTTCAGATTGTTAAAACAAAGAAGACTCAAATACTCTGCGCTCTCCGGCAAAATTAATAGTAACCCTCTCCTTTTCGCACAAATGTTCGATTTCGAGCTGAAGTTGGTCACTTTCTTAAATTTTTGCGGTATATTCGGAACTTTTTGTTATACATAAACTGATGGAAGAAATTGTTCTCTTCACAATGAGACATCTCCGATCATTTTGTATGAAGCTATAAGCATTGCCACAAATGCCCTGAAAAAGCCTCCTGTATACAAAAGGTGCTTTATTCTAAATTAGTCTCTTCATTTTTCACGCTCACGCCTGCAAGCATAAACACAGCATATATTTAAAAAGTACAGGGTACCAAGCAAATGTAGAAAAAGCTACCTTTCTACAGCAGCCAACCAAAGAAATAAACTGTTTCAGGCACTCTTCGAATTATACGTGTAATTTCGTAAAAATAATTTACTGAAAGTTCATTGAAGTCGTTTAGAAATTTCAGTGTGTGAAGAAGCCGGCGGTTTCTGTCCCCAGCATAGGTAGAAAACTCTAGAAAGTTAATCTTCCATAAAATATACCTCACAAACGTGACCTCAACGGATACTGGCGAAAATGAAAAACATTCTGCAATTTCCAAATCATCGTGTTGAGCTTGTTAATCTGCTCTCCTTCTGTCTGATATGAGTTACAAGTATTAATTTTCAGGACTGACAGGATCTCGTTTTCATGTTTGCTTGCACTGTAGAACATCGTTTTTCGCAGCAGATAACGCTTTTACAGAATGTTAACAAATAATTAAGTTTCTATGATTTGTCTGATGATGAATATTGTTCTTCATTCAGATCATTGACAACTTTGTATGTCTATAGCAGGTGTATATTGAAAGAAAAAGAAATCACAAATATCAGAATCAATGTGTAATGAATGAGTCTGAAGAAAAAGAAAAAGGGGGCACTGAACCAAGGACCTCTCGATCTGCAGTCGAATGCTCTACCGCTGAGCTATACCCCCAAGGTGTAGACGTTTTCGTTTTCTTATACATTGAGCTGAGCTATTGAATACATCAATAATTTCATACACACGGTAAAGTCGCGTTTCGCCAATTCAACTTTCGCCAATAGACATTAGCCATATGGGCGACTGGCGAATGTCGTGTGCACATTCGCCAGTACCTGTCCTCAGTATTCATTGGAGTGTGCATATGCGCATTTTTCTGCTTTGAATAGTTCCTGATATCAAGATTTATGGTGCCTCAGCTTCATATGTGTAATTTTCGAAATTTCAATGTTTTTTTTCTTGCGATAAACTATGTTTTAAACGTTAATATCGTTTGTATTTATTCTTTTCTTAGGCTCTTTGTTGCTGTGTCTCTTTTGTTTTCTTTCTCAAAATAATATCAAAATCTTTGCATAATAATATCAAAAACGATTCGCTCATCCCGTAACTGCAAAAAATACCACAGAAAATACGATGCGGATCAAAACATAACAGCGAAAAGAAATGCATCATTTTTTGCTTCTTTCGTTGTACTATATAAAGCACACTACGTGATATTTTAACATTTTGTCAGCGGTAAAGTCGCGGTTCGCCAATATAACGAATGTTTCCGCGACATTCGCCAATTTTCGTGGACATTCGCCGTCTATTGGCGAAAAATGAATTGGCGAACTGCGACAAATACCCACTTACTAGTAGTACTGTTGCTGTTTCATAATTTTGTAACAGGTAATGACGTCGACAGCATGTCCCAAACAGACAAACATTTGGAAAAACGCGTTTAAACGCTCAAAAGGGAACCGCGATTGTGAGTCAGTAACGCTCATTAAAAAAACGCAAGAAACGCGTTTTTTGCGCAAAATTTTCACTTTCAGACCGT